GAAATGAAGTAAATAATAATTATTTGTTAATGAGAGAAAGATGTATTTAAATATTTAGAATTCATTTAACTTTCATATTACATGTGTATTTTATGTGATTTTGACTTATAGGGGTTAATGTAGCCCGTATTGATTTAGTGGGTAGAAACTTAAATTAGAATTCTAGACAAGAGGAGAGTAGTCACATTTATAAACTTGAGTATTATATCCTGCTTTTAAACATAATACATTAACCAATATATTTTTTACTCTTTTTTTTAATTTAAATTATTCACATGTATAACTACTGTTTATTTGTTCTATACAACAACAACAACAAGATGCCTCTTTTTTCTCCATTGCGTCCTATTGAGTGTCATAATTTCATTTAATTCTAATAAATTAAGATCATTTTTTATATAATATATCTAAGTCTTTCTAGGTCTACCTCTGCCTTTCTTAATATAAATCAAATCTAAAATATTCACTCTCCTAATTGGATCATCAGATGGTCGACGTTTAATGTGACCAAAACATCCAAGACAACTCTCTCTAATTTTGTCTGCCAATAGAGCTACACCAACCCTATCACGGGGATATTCATTTCACAATTTGTCTCTAAGTGTAAAGCCACTCATCCACCTAAGACACTCATCTCGACAATGCTTAACTTAGTTTTATGCTTCACTCTTAAAGGCCAACATTCTGTGTCATTGAGCATTGCAGAACTCACCATGATCTTATAAAATTTTCCTTTCAGCCTAAGTGATAATTTGTTATCACACAATAAGCCTGAAGCATTCCTCCACTTCAACCAACAAACTTAAATTCTACTAATAAAATCCCCATCTAAATCACCAATCGCTTTGAGCAATAGACTCGAGATATCTAAAACGTTCACACCTTTTAATAATTTGATCACCCATAGTTACAACTCTATCACTAGAGCTACAACTACTAAATTACAACTACTAAATTACATTCCATGTCCATGTAATCAGTTTTAGTTCTACTCATACGAAGGCCTTTCGACTCCAAGGCAGACCTCCATAATTCATGTTTTTTTTCCTGAGCTCTTTCTCTAGTCTAATCCACAAGAAGAATATCATCAGGAAAAAGCATACGCCAACGTACAACTTCCTGTAAATGTCCAATGAGAGCATCCAAAACTAAAGTAAAAAAGTTATGGGATTAAAGTAATCCAACTGAAATAGAAAAATATTTGGACAATCCTCCTTCTGTTCTAACAGAAGTAACAGCTCTAGCATACATATCTTTAATGACTTGAATATAAGTCGTATCAACACCTTTCTTTCCTAGAACTAATCAAAGGATATCTCTTGAAACCTTATTGTAAGCTTTTTCTAAATTAAAAAAAAAATCATATGTAGATCCTCTTTATTCTTTGCGTACTTCTCCCATCAAACCTCTCAATAAATGTATAGCTTCCATGGTAGACTTGTCTGTCATGAATCCAAAATGATTAAGAGAAATCTTTGTAATAAGTCTTAACCTGTGTTCAATTGCTCTTTTCCATAATTTTAAAGTATGACACATCAACTTAATACCTCAATAATTTGCACGCTCTTGTGTACCCCTTTCATTCTTAAAAATGGGGAACAAAATATTTTTCCTCCACTTCTGAGCCATCTTTTTAGTTTTTAACATAATATTAAAGAGTTGAGTAAGCCAAGACACTCCCAAATTTTCCAAATATTTCCACACTTCAATTCGGAAATCATCGGGTCCTACAAATTTTCCACCCTTGGTTATTTTTAAAGCCTCGTCAACTTCTTTTTACTACTGCGACGGTAAAAATGAAATATTTTATTATTATTAATGATATTATGATCACTAAGGTCAATTGTATTTTCAAAAACTCCATTGAAAAGTTTATCAAAATAACTCACTCACTTATGTTGAATATCTTTTTCCAAGGAAAAAACTTTTTGATCTTTATCTTTAATACACTTGAGTTAAATCTTTAGTTTTCTTTTATCTTTGTTTGACAAGTTTATACATATATTTTTGACCAACTTTAGTATCTAATCTATTATAAATATTAATAAAAGTATAATTTTTAGCATCACGGATTGCTCACTTAGACTTTACAGGTCATTTCATATTTTAACCATTCTCTGAGCTTTTACATTTAAACCATTTTTTATAAAATAAGTTCTTATATTTTATCTTTTCTTATAAACTATTATTCCACCACCAACTATTTTTATTTATAAAAATTTTTCTTTTTGATTCTCCAGGTACATCTTTTCTCATTTGTTTAATAATGTTTGATATTTTATCCCATATAGGATTTACTTCTTCATGAACATCCCAAATCTTGAAATCTTAAAGTTTACTCAAAAATAACTTTATTTGTCTTTTATGTGCCTTCATCTAATTCTATGAAAATGATTTCTAGCATTCTTTATTTTACAACTCTTCATCTTAAAATCTAGAACTAATAATCGATGTTGAGTACTTAAATTCGCACTTGAAATAACCTTAGAATCTTTACATTCTCAACGATCTCTTCTTCTCACAAGAAAATAATCAATTTGTGTTTTATTAGATGCATTCTTATAAGTAATAATATGCTCATCTCTTTTTTTGAATAACTTATTATCAATAATAAAATCATATGTTAAAGTAAAATCTAATATGGCTCTACCTTCTTCATTAATCAGTACAAAACCATAGCCAACATAAATATTTCTAAAATCTTCTACGGCTGTATCAATATGTCCATTTAAAGGTCCTCCAATAAAAATATTCTCTTCAAGAAATATCATTTGTATTAATTCTTCTAAGCCATTTAAAGGTCCTCCAATAAAAATATTTTCTTCAAGAAATATCATTTGTATTAGTTCTTCTAAGTCATTCCATAATTTTTCTTTTCTTTAAAACCTACATCTAAACCTACTTGAGGAGCATAAGCACTTCTAAAATTAAAAATGTTAGTATCAACAATAATCTTAATAGCTATAATTTTATCTCAAATTCTATTAATTTTTACAGCATTATCTTTCAATCTCTTATTTATATAATTACACTTACACCATTTCTAGTGCGACTCTTACCTAAATACCAAAGTTTAAAACCAAAGCTATCAACTTTCATAATCTTTTCTTCAACCTATTTAGTTTCTTGAATACATAAGATATATTTTCTCTAAATCATAATATCAACTAATTTCATTAATTTATATGTGAGATTACCTATATTCCAAGATCATATCCTAATATTAGTTTCATAGACTAACTTCTTTACCCATATCCATACGTAATATGGAAACTCTTACTTATTTGACACTACACCCGAGCGCCGGTGTAGTGGCACTTTTCGCTGTATTAAGGTCATACAGTCTGTTGCTCTCAGGAGATGCCCTAGTATCTACACAATGATCAAAAGAATTCATGTCATAATTTTTTTATAAATTTTACGCTGACTGTCAACTATCTAACGCAACATCCACTTTTCACATATGGGGATTGGACCCGACAATGGCAGCGTTTGTTTATTTGTTCTATGTTGCAACTAATTTGTCATATTATTAAAACTAAAACACACGTGACAATATTACCTTAAAAATATTTATACAGTACTTTCCCTTAAAAGTGAATAGATTTTCACAACATGATAATTAGATTATATTAAATTATCACAATATGACATTTAGTTACTTACAAATTGGCATATAGTTACTGATAGAAAAGTATACACCTTTTCATAGAAAAATAATGTAGTTTATGAATAATAAAAATAAAAATGTTGTATATAAGTATACTTGCATGTGCATGTTAATGAATGAAGTTCATATTTCTATTATACTAATTACGGATGATAATGTACCTGCACGCATTGATAATTTTTTCCCATCTCAGACCCATGCCCCGCTAACCCGACCGGAGATCTATCAGCTAGAGGTGAATTTGAGCATTTCCAAATATAGTGGAATTATTCTACAACCCACTGCTGATGAGGTACATATCAGCCAAACGTGAGTTAGTTTATGTTTCGATGTCTCTTGCACGAACGATTAATTTGAGAAAAGTAAAAAAAATATGAGTAAGATATGATAAGTTTACTGGACATAAATGAAAAACTAAATCTCATTATTGTACAACCATTCATCATTTTAAAACATTAACAATCTCTACAATCATATAATGTCATTTATATATCCAGCATATGATATAATTTCTTTCAGAGTTTAAATTAATAACACGCATGCATAATGTTTATTTTCCTTAAATTATTGTGATTTGGAACTATTATTATCTCACTGCACTACTTTGATAGCTCACTAATATTGTTATTTAAATAATTCAGATTTAAATGAGTGAATGAAGAGAGGTGACGTACCATAGACAGGGCTATACAAGAGCAACATGTTTTATCTTACCTTTGGCTTAAATTTTCATAGGTTTATTGCTCTTACATTATTTTCTGATTTAGACATTTTTAGAAAAAAAAAAATAGTAATTATAGTTGTGATCTAATCACAGTCCGACCATTTGTTCTAACCTTGAAAATTCTTTAGCCCTTAGTTTAGGTCTTGACACAAACTTCATTTTATAAAACATGTTTTCCGTTTAAAGGAAACGAAATGAGCTCCTGGATATATTCATGTAAATATGAGCTTCAAAAAGTTATATTCCAGACCTGAAGTGCCTGGTTTAGAGTTTGCAAAACATAGGACAATAAAATATTTTGAAATCATTTCAAGAGTTAAAGCTAAACGAGAGAATTCTGAATACTAACTATAAATTATTCTATTATGAACTTACTGTCATGATATGTGTGAGAATCTTGGTATATACAGATATTCCTGTGCTGCACCCATCATGCTTGCAAAATGTAAGCTATTAACCACTTTGATAAATACGAAAGTAAGCCAAAGCAAACTCGTATGCATACTTGAATTAGGTGATTAATCAAACTTCAGAACAACAGCACGCAACCAATATGATGCCAAACTACCGAAAATAGCTACAAAAGCTTAAGACTAGTTATAATACCTGCGAAGGTCAATTCCTGTTAATCCAGCTTGCAAGATTGATAAATTATCTGAATCTGGAGATACGATAACAATGGTTTCTTCAGAATATTGAGTTTCTAAAATGGACATGAGTTGCGTAATTCGAACATAGACATCTGAAACACTTTCATTTGGCGTTCCATCCCTAATGGGAGGTGGTTTATTGTTTGTTGAAATTCCATCGGAAGCATACAGCTGGAAGTTCATTATAAACATAAGGGCGTGCTTCAAGTTCTAATCAATAAATAAATAGCGGGTTAATTGCCATGTATGATAAAAGGAAGGAAAGGAACAGAATTCAGGCAATTTGTGTGATGTTATGAATCTATAATCATAATATTTGTCAACAGCAGAAACAATTGCCTCATAAAAACTAATTGATCTTATACCCCATAACAAATGTTCAGCTGAAATTAAATGTGTCCACCAGCGGCAACACAAGACTGCAGATAACTTTTTAACTATCAACAACACATCTGAATATTCCAGGGCAAACGTCATGGAGGAAAACAAGCAATAAAGCAAATAAAATTCACTAGAGCTTGGCAAAATCAATTAATTTGTTATAAAGCATGGACTCAAAAATAGAAATTAGCGGGGTAAATGAATTAAACTCATACAGGTTTATCTTTTCTAAGGGCTTGAATGAAACATGATGTTTACATCCATGTCTGACAATGATAAGAGACGCAATAGCTGTTTCATTTACTGAAGATTCATTTCTTGACGGAAAAAAATATTACAGGATTATTTAAAGTTGGTAAGATTAAGTTATTTGATTAGTCTAGACAATTAACAAACAATTCTCTAACTGTCACGTGGAATATTTCCCACCGTTCAGAAGTAACAGCAACTCTTAAATCTACACCATTAGCTGCTTTGGCTAGGCACACCACTGCAACTATATATGCAGCCTAATATTGAAACTGATACAAGAGACTGAATAAAATTTACTCGTGTACGAAGACTTAGGGTCTGGTTGGGATCATTTTCTATACTTTATTTTTTTGTTTTTGTTTTTAGTTTTTTTTGGTTTTTTTTCCTATTTTTAAAAAATACATTTGGTATTGTTATGATTTTTCCATATTTAAAAATACAAAATACTTGTATATTTTTTGTTTAATATATATATTCAAATATGTAAACATAAAAACCATTTACATACAAATCACCTAATTCTTATGTATCTACATATATATCAAACTCAGCCACGAAAGTATGACCACACTTGAAACAATTACATAGATAGCACTTGAAACTTTGCTACGTACAAAAACAGCACGCATCTGAAACAATGACATAAATAGCACTTCAAAATTGCTAGCCACAAAACTAGCATTCAATTATTTCAATTAAACTGGATAAATTTATAAAACCAATCAAAAAGAATCAAACAATAGGCAATACCAAACTATTAGTCTCCTCTTCACTCATTAGCTCCAATCTGCATACCATACAATTCTTATGCATTTACATAGCTAACGCCTAAACTTTCACAATAACATCTGAAGTATCATAGAATTAATTCACAATTCCTTCTTTGTAAAAGCAAAAGTGAGCATGTATTTACATAATACATAGACAGCCAACTTGCTTTATCAACATAATAAAAACAATTACATAGCACTTGAAACATTGATAAAGGAAGTACGGACTATTACAAAAATGCAATTGAAACATTGCTATATGCAAAATTATCACCAACTTGAAACAATAACATAGATAGCAATTGAAACGTTGCCCACACAAAACTATCACCACACTTGAAACAATTACATAGGTCGCACTTGAAATATTGCTAAATACAAAATTAGAACCACACTTTAAACAATTGCATAGATAGCACGTGAAATGTTGCTACATACAAAACTAGCACCCACTTGAAACAATTGCATAGATAGCACTTGAAACATTGCCACATACAAAACCAACAAGACTCAAAACTAATTCGAGCCAATTAACTCGAACTCAATTCAAGCAAACTTGACCCTAAATCAAGCTAACTTACAATCACCTGAAAATATCATTATTTGGACAATCATACTCAATAAGTCATGCAATTACAAAATTGAGCCGACCCAACACCCTCAATCTCCTAAAAAGATATCTGCTTGAACCTACCCATCTTACCCTCTTCCATCATCATCACCACTGAAACCCCTCTTTCTTTTTCAACCTCCGACGAACTCAACAGAAGATAAGTCAATCCACCAAACAGCATACAAGCTTTTCCCATATAAATCGCCTTCCCCCACCCAAAATTCGCCTCATAAATCAACATACCCATCCAACTAACCACCCATAGATCCACCTACAGCATCGCCCGCAAAATCGGAAGAATGCATAAAATCCAGAGATCTAGAAAGGGAAAGAAAAAATCAAAATGCTGAATCAAGAAAGAAAAGCATGCTTCGGAGCCCTAGCTATGAAAGTCAAATGAGTGAAGAGAAACCGAAGAAAAAAAATGAAAGAAGATCACACCTAAACTTTGAGAGCCGAAAAGTGGCTACAGGGGATGTGTCGCCGACCGAAGGAAAGGCAAGTAGAGTCAGATCGAAGGGTTTGCAACGGTACCTGGGCAAAACAGCGAAGAGAAGGGGATCGGGATTTACTCGGGTTTTGAGCTTAGCATGTTTTGGCTATTTTTGAAACACAGAAAACACATTTCGTATGTTTTGCCTATTTTAAAAACAACACACTTAGGTTTAAAAACCAAATGAAAAAATAAATAAATAAACAGTGTTTTTCTGTTTGTATTCTATTTTTTATTTTCAAAAACAAAAAGTAATGCCGAACCACGTGTCCTCTAATCTATTTTTCTGTTATCTAGAGCTTAACTAGTGCATGTTTTTATGATATCAAAGCCAAGCTAGCTTAACAGCCCTTCCCTCCCTTCCTTTTTTTTTTTTTTTTCTCTCTTCCTCTTTCGAGTCATGTCGTAAGAAGGGTGTCAGTTTCAAAAAATCTGTAGATATTATACCTCTGAAATTACTAATGGTTACTATTAAGACCTCGGCCATACCTTACAAACTACCAACAATTATCCCATGTGGAGCTCTTGACTCTTCAAATTCTATGTCCAATGACTTCAGTGCATCCTTGATAGTTATTCCCACTGTCCAACACAATTCCAGCTGGAGGTAAATGAACAACCCTCCCTCAACCTAACTATACAACCTGGAAACTGATTGATGAGAACCTTGTAGCAGCTCTCTACTCCACCATTTCCCTGACAAACCTACTCATATCCTTACTCAGATTATACCGCTAATATTTGGCATACTCTTGACAAAAGGCTTCAATCTTTCCGTCGTTCTAGAGTTATTCAACTCTACGAAAAATAATATCATACTTGAAATCAAATTGCTTGTTGATCAAATAGCAGTTGTGGGTTCTCATATAGACAATGAAGATGTGATCTTCTACATCCTCAATGGCTTCCCACCTCAATACCTATCCTTCAAAGCTACAATCCGCACTACGCTTGAAACCATTAGTCGTGATGATCTTTACTCACTCTTATGCAGCAAGTAAATTAGGCTTGCTATGGGAGTTAAAGACCAGACATCCTCCACAATTGGTTTAATCTCATCTAGTAGTCATGGCTCACATTCTGGCCAAAGAGGCCATGGCAAAGCTATCTCCTAAACAGGATGTTCAATTCCCTTTGTTTTCAATGAGCACGGCGGCAACACACAAAACACGCATCCAAATTGTCAGATATGTAGCAAAGCTGAACATTACAACTCTCGCATGTTGGCATAGGACCAACCTGGAGCACAGCACATCAACATCTCGCAACAACACAACCTTCCCAGCTAAAAACTCACGTCAATCGGCTAAATGGCTACTGCATAAAAGAATCTCTTCACACCTCACCTTAGAGTATTCTCGGTTTCAACAAACAACCGTTTACATAGGTCCTAAAAATGTCACCATGGGCAATGGAATTCTCTTTCCATATTTCATACAAACCACAGCATTCTACCAACACGAAATTATAAGCTCATCCTACCTCGCCTCCTTTATGTTGTCAATCTATCCCATGACCTCCTCTTAGCTTACAATCCTGCTTCTGAAAACAATGGTTTCATTTCCTTAGATTCCGCTGGTTTTTAAAACAGGGATCAAAGATCCAAGCAAAATCTCCCCGAAGGTCACAACCATCATGGTCTCTACCCCATCGCACAAATCTATTATTTCCACTCAATAGCAATTTCAACCAAGTTATGGCATCAACATCTAGCCCACATACACCTCAACATCATCTACTTCATCTCCAAATAAAATTTTTCCCTGCACAATCCTACAATTCAAACTTCTTGTAATATTTTAAATTCACTAGAGAGTCCATAAAACTAATATTAAGATAAGATTGGAATATAGTTACTCTCAGGTAAATTAATGGAATTAGTTAATATTATGGTTCATAAAAAAATAAATATCTTATGTATTCAAGAAACTAAATGGGTTGGAGAAAAGTCTAAGGAGATTGATAACATATGTTTTAAACTTTGGTATTCAGGTAGAAGCCGCACTAAAAATGATGCAAGTGTAAAAATTAATATAATTGGAGATAGAATTAAAGCTTTAAAGATTGTTGTTAATACTAAGATTTTTAATGTTATAAGTGTTTATGCTCCTCAACTAGGCTTAGATATAGGTTTAAAAAAAAAAAGTATAGAATGACCTAGAAGAATTAATACAAATGATGCCTCTTAAAAAAAATCTATTGGAGAAGATTTAAATGGACATGTTGGTAGGGTGTTAGAAGATTTTAGAAATATTCATGATGGCTACGATTTTGAAGTGATTAACGAGGAAAATAGAACCATATTAGTTTTGTTTATTGTAAATTATTGTTATTGCTAATATTTTATTTAAAAAAAAATGTGAGCATGTTATTACTTACAAGAATAGATCTAATAAAATACAATTTATTATTTTCCTATGAGAAAAAGATATTGTCCAAAATGTAAGGATTGTAAAGTTATTTCAAGTGAAAATTTAAATACTCAAAATCGATTAATAGTTATTGAATTTTAAGATGCAGAGTTGTAATATAAAAAATACAAGAAAACAATGTTATAGAATTAGATAGAAGCACCAAAAAGACACAAATAAAAAAATTATTATGAGTAATTTTTCAGGATTTCAAGATTTGGAATTTTCATGAAAAAGCGAATTCTACGTGG